TTTATCCTTTTAAGTTATTTAAACACATAATAGTCCCAAACTCAAGAAAGACAAAGTTAAGATAGATCGTTTTAACTTAAAAGAAGGGCCTCAATGTGTATTGATGGTGAAAGAATATGTTTGTAATAAATAAAACAATGATGAAAATGCTTATATTTAGTTTCAAACACATGTGTGTGGCCTATTATAAATAAGATAAGCCCTATGTCGTATTGTTTTCTATATATTGGGGTGGGGTGGGTATGGTAAATTACTAACCGGAAAAATAAATACCCACTCTGACCCAAGACCCCTGTTACGCGCCTGGTGTTAGCACCAATGGGTGCCCTTGTGCGGACAGGGGATGTGCCCCCCTCTGAAGCTGGAAACCTTGTTTTTGCAAAATAAATTGATGCAATTTGCTATTATAGGCCTAATCAATAAATTCCTCATCAACCAATATAACCTTAAACATTCTTGGAATTGACATAACGTTACTGTCGTAGTACACACCCTTCAGTGTGAAATGTGGCTCTCTTTGCAAGCACATCTAACATCTAAGGAAAGAAGAGTTTAGATTGGTACCAGATAAAATAATTTTGTGATCAACATTAATACATTAGTCTCTTATACACATCTAGATGTGTATAAGAGACAGTACTAAAAGCATAAGACTGTGCAAATTATTTCTGTGACAGTCTTTTGAAGTGTGTAAAGCTCCATTTTACCCCATACATAGTCAAAATATTTGGGGGGATGATACAATGGACCCCCCCCCCCCCCCTTGTCAAATATGGGGGGATATTCCCCCCATCCCCCGGGATCTACGCCTATGGTGTTTAGTACAGTCACCTAGTGGGTGTTGCTAATTATCCCAGTTATATTATTAGAGATAACATTACATAGTAGCATTAAAATGTTAAGCATTGCTTTTTAATTAAAAAAAGTTTGTTTCACAATAAACATTTACGTTCTAAATCCTGTATTGGAAAAAGTAGTCTTCTTATCTTATTTTTAAAATTGTGTAAGAAGTATTTAAATATACATGAACATGCATTTAAATGACATGTACATGCTTTTAAAATCGTATAAATGCTCTGGCTTTGGGGGGCTTTTCCCCTTGACCCCACCGGGCCCTTTGGCGGGCCCCTAGACCCCGCGCCCAGAACCCCCACTTCAAGCATGCTGGCTACGGGCCTGTGATGGGATGAGTCATAAACTAAAGATAAAATGAACAGTCTTCCAACAGAAGCCTATGAAAAATATGATCCCATGCCTAGATAAGACCTGTCCCAGACATAAATAAAAATTACTTGTACAGTTATTCAAGTGAATTGCCAACACAGAAAGCACGGCTGTCCCGAGGCAAAACAACGTAACTGACATTTTTTTCGATTTTTAGATAATATAATTCTGGATTATATTAACACTTCTGAATTACCTGTGAAATTTCAGGTCTCAATAATGAGTCGTTTCGGAGATAGCACCACCTATCTTTAAGCACAAAACTTAAAATCTAGTGATTAGCAGCTTAGATCAGTCGGCTAATCCGGTGGTAGCCATGTGTGTGCGCTAAACCGTGGAGATCTCTAGGTCCCCGGTTTATTTCTCATCGCTGCCTCTCCTTGTGTTTTAGCTGGAGGGCTGAAATACAAGTTACAATAGTGCACAGTCTTTTGGATGAGACATTTAAGCCGTTGGTCGTGTGTGCAATAATGGCCCATGTTAAAGAATGCAGTACACTCTTCGGAAAAGAGCAGGCTATTGTCTCCCGGTGCCCAGTCACCACCAGAAGGACCCCACTGGAAATGTTCTTTCTAGACTTTCGTGGGCTATCCTTGGTGTTTGCACCGAATAAATCCAAAACAACGCAACTGCAATGTTACGGGGTAAAACAATGTATCTACGATGTAGATACGCTGTTTTGCCTTGGAATGGTATTCAAATATTGTTTTGATCTGATGGAGTTATGGCAAGGCAAAAGCATCTGGTTAATGGCATTTTCATATAAATATTCTTAACAGCGACATGAACAAGCTAGATAATGCATGTGATTGCCCCAAAACAATACCGAGTCTGACATGTTTCCGAGACAAAACAACATCTGTAAATATCGCTAATAACTTTGCAATAAACAAACGTTTGTAATTAAAATTTTAAATATAATCACAATGTCTATAGATATACAATCCTACAAAATTTCAAAAGGGTACAATCTTTTATTGCCAAGTTGCAAACATAAAAACTTTAACTCTGTTTTTTTTCCAAAAGTGAAAATTTCAAGTTACGTTTGTTTTGCCACAGAATGGCTGAGCGCGGATGGATTATGAGTTAAAAGTAGCCACAAAAACCCTATATTTCAAGCTGCGGACATGCTCCCTATTTTCTCATTATGACACCTTTATATTGTATTTTGTAAATAAATAAATAAACCAACCAATTGCATTTAAAATGTGAAAATAATGTTTTTATTTTCTTTTTGTAGCAAAGAAACCAAAGAAAGGTATGGCAACAGCCAAACAAAGGTTGAGCAAGATCTTAAAATTGAAGAAAGGAGGTCGTCTGATGGTATGAGCTTCTGTATTGTGATAAATGTACTGGCTTATTTTTTTTGTAAAATAAAACAAGAATGGAGCAGTGTTTGGTATGCCGGAGGTTCTGGATAACGTTGATTGCATTTCTTATGTTCTTTGTTTTTATTTAATTTGAAGTGTGTAAAGAAATCAGGGAGTGGTATCTGTGTTAAGTACACAAATATTTGTAAATAAACACATAACATTCATGTGTTGAGAAATCATGTATTGGTGAAATTGCAAGTATGTAACTTGTTTCTACAATAGGAATTATGATGTTACTTTGAAGGGTCCCTTCATGACCTTTGGCCATGGATATGTATGCACTACATATCCATGTTTACCATAAAAAAGCTCTTGCCTTCGGTATGCATACACAACATTCTACATATCAGCGAACATGTCTCGTGTTTTATTTACGTGCAAGTCAAAAATAGGTCAAAACAGTGTCGCATTAAAGCCTGCTGTACGTGGATTCAAGCTAACTGAATCCTAACACCTCAGGCCACGGAATTCTAAGCTTTGTGATTGGCTTGGACATTGAGGAAGTACTCATTATGAATTAAGTGTGTGATTTTTTTTTCTATAATTGTATTCCGCAAAAACAAACTAAAAATGTTAGAATTGGTTTCTTGTGTACAGTTTGTGTATATATTGGGTTTTATCATGGAAAATACAGAATGTGCTGAAATTTGATTTTCTGAATTTGATTCATAAGAGCGATATCAGATATTGTATTATTATTTTAATATTTGGTTTTGGTTAAATAAATTTGTGTTTCTATTCCACAATAGTTTGTAATAAAAGTAATGATGGTAATATTACCATATATTACCATATCAGTAATCTAATTTTTGAAAAAGACAATTAAGAGAGTGGCCAACATAGAAGAAATGCTAAAGGGGAGGAAAAACAGCAATAGGCTAATTCGTATTTTGAACTGCGCATGCCCGTGTCAAAGTCAATCGACGTATACAAACATGTTTATATCAGTTGACCTTGGATACGGGCATGTGCAGTTCAAACTAGTGATGATTTATTTGTATGATGATGTATATTATTTATTAAAGAGGGCCCCTTTACATCAGCCTCCCTTCGGGGAAATTGAAAGGGTTACCCTCTTTAAATATTGTTGAAGAAACAAACGAACAACTTGGCTTATACAGTTAAGTCATTGTAGAGTAAATGCCATAGGCAGAACGTAAAATTGGTTGGAGACGAGAAAGAGAGAAGCCAATTGAGGAAAGAGCATTTACCAAGGACAACCGAATGGAAGAAAAATTTATCAGAATCAGTACAGTATTAGTATCCTAGTTTAATGTTCATAGATTCCCAAGTAGCTGTATATTTGTTGATTGGAATTGTATATAGAAAATTATAATTCATATTTCCTTTTGTGTTATATTATTTAAGTAACTTTTCTTTACTTTGTAATGTTAATATTATTACTGATTTATTTAATTAAGCAGTTTAGAATAAGTAAAACAGAAAATGCTAGTACTAGTTTGATACAAGGCTAGTTTTTGAGTGTACAGTTGTTAATTGATTGTTTGAAATAATTTTCTGAGATCCCCTGAATTGATTAATGAAATTAGTAATTATTGACTTAATCAACATCAATTGCAATAATATTAATTAAGATCATGAATGGTACATAATTTTATAATTATTATAAAACGTAAATCTTGACGTCATCAAATTTAAGTATAACATAATTTCCATATTTGAAATCTTTAGTAATTGTTGTTATTGAAAGGCTTGCTTTGCGTATCAAAATGATCTAGCGAATATCTTCTACTCTACGTAGCCTGTGTAGTGAACTACTGTAGCAACAAACAACCTAGCGCCACCTACATTTAATGCGATGACCTTCATATCCACATGAGCAAGAAACAAATTTGAACAAACTCAAAAAATTTGCTTTCCAAAGAGATGACGTTAAGGAATTCATATATTTTATTGAAAAAGGGACGAAAACCTGTATTTGTTACAGATTGTTTTCTGCTATTCATCTTATTGTTGTGTAACTACTATTGGTTAGACTATTACCTATTTATTACATTTTATTTTAGATAAACAATATATCTTCATATAGATTTTAGTTAGTGTTGTATTTTTAAATACATTGTAATTCAATTAATTTTGATTTTAATAACATTTTCTCCAAGTAATTTATATTTTTATCCATCAATTACAACTGTCAGCTGCATTCCATATCATTTGTCAACATAAAATAGTACATTGCAGATAATTAATTTAAATTATTATAATAATTAATGTTGTGTAGTATTAATGAAAATTGATTTATGTCTGCTGTATCCAATTATACTGTTTTCAGGATCTTTACACAACAGTGGAAATTTCTGCTAAGCTCTGTCTTTTGAAAATTGTTGCCGAGTTCCCACAAAACGAGGTTTACGTAAAACATGTATTTGTGGGATATGTGTGTATTCCAGTTATTAAGTTTGACAATGTGTCTGGGGTAGTGGAGCAAAGAGCAAATTGGGAACCCATGATCCAGGGAGGCTAGGTTTGAGAGAAGAGTTTCTTCTCCAGTTGGTATCCAGGGCTAACACCTTTGAAGCTTCAAGTTTTGCCATTTTAATCTCAAATCTAAATGATTTCACACTAGGTTAGAACTTGTTTTTCTGTTTGGGGATGGGGGTGTGGTATAATAATTACCTTTTGCCATTCCCAGGATCTTCCAATATGTAAAGCATTTTGTTTGTTTGTGCCAGTAACAACCAGAACAATATAAAAAATATTAAGATATAAAATTCATATAAAATAAAGATAAATTGTGAATGCAGTAATCTTAAAACCGAAAAAAACCCCGAATATTATAGCATCAATCGTTGCTTGCACTGAGAAAGGTCTCAGTGTTTTTTACACCTATAAGAGATATTGAATACAACCTCTTGTAGTGGTTGTGTGAACAACAGTGGCGTATCTAGGGGTCTGCAAATGGGGTGGGGGCCTATAATTTGAAGTTGTGCTGGGTGATTAAGTTAGGAGGCACTAGCTCACAATGAGGTGATTTGTGTCTACTTGAGTGTGATTTTGTTTTGATTCAAACAATTTAAATGGATGTGACTGGGGTATGTGCGCTACCCGTGCCCTCCCCTAGATAAGCCACTGGGGATAGTTTCTAAAGCTGTCTCCAGTATCAATTTTCTTGTCGCAAATATCTGTGGTTTTCTGATATATGGGTTTGATATGACATAACCATGCCCATATATGGATATGATCATGCCCATATATGGATATGATCATGCCTATATATGGGCAAATTACAGATATTTATTACATGAAACTTATATACAGGTCCTGAAACATATCAAAGCATGTCAAATAGTGTTTAGATGACAGACAAAAGTTCTGCCTTGGATTATCCTGAACTGCCATATTGTCACTTGAACTGCCCCATTGTCATTTGAACTGCCTTTTATTCATAACTTTACCACATACACATTCGTTTTTTGTCACAGTTCTTGTGTTGTACGATAGTTAAAAATAATATCATCATGATAATAATAGTGATTTATGCAGTACCTCATCATGTAAAGGCATGTTGCACTATATACAGTAATTACATTATTTAAAGTTGTTATAATTAATATAGTTAATAGCATTTATAATATTATAACATACTATTAATCTATTTGTTACTATTGGAAAATGTCTAATACACACCATCTAGAGTTGCCTATTAAGCTTTTTTGATTGATTTTAATCACGTTTTTAGTCCTTGCAGACATCATTGTGGTAGTGTACTTTGATTGGGCTTGGTTATTATCTTGGTTATCTTTGTAAATAACTGTACAAACAAAATTCAGGAATCATGGGTATGTAGATGTATACTTGTGTATATTAAATCTCTTTTCTAATTTTGTATTTATAAGAGTAGAAAACATTAAAAATTGATGTGTCTATTTAGGCTGTTGTCCAGTTTTGTGCATTTCGTACATCAGTGGGAAATGGTAGCAGAACAGTGGTGGCTCCAGAAATTTGCAGATAGGGGCCGAACCAAGGGCCGACTAGAACCTCGGTCAGGGTCCCGGAATAAAAATCCCTGGTACCTTGAATATTATGGATTGGCAATTAAAATAATGTTACAGAATGTGGATAGGAGGCAAATGATTATGTTCCGGGCCTGCTGTCCAACAGCTGACGGGGGATCCTGACCCATCTCCAAATCACATGTTGATAAGATAATGCATGGAATATTGTATAAGATAAAACAAAAACAAATAACTAAAATTCACACAGATTATGTGTTATTGACAAACTTGAGCCTTAAAGAGATAACATTGTGAATTAGGTTGCACAGTAGGTATATTTACATACACTGCATTACTGTAATACAGGCCTCCCTCCAATTAAAGACCATTGTAGGGACCAAGGCTTATATAGTTAAGTTTAATTACAAAATCGGGCATTACAGATTGGTGTTCATCCCGCTGCTCAGAGAAAAGGTCTTTAATTTGACGGGTTATGATTTGAGAGAAGACGACTTTAATTTATTAAATTTTTTCCAACAGTGAATATGGTAGTAGTGTTGGTGACAAATTATGAATTAAAACCCAACACTCTTTTCATAATATAACTTGCCGAGATTCCGTTTTGCACAATCTAGTTTTCCCAGACTCGGCTGACTGATTCAGCTTGCCTGGATTAAGCTTGCCCAGAAGATTCAGTTGTCGCAGATTTAGCTTGCTCGGATTCAGCGTGCCCAGATTATTTTACCGGATTCAGCTAGCCCAGGTCGCGTTTACTCAGATTTAGCTTGCCCGGATATGGCTTGCCTAGATTACATGCCCAGATTAAGCAAGCCCAAGTTGAGTTTACTCGAAATTTAGCTTGCCCAGATTCAGTTTGTCCAGAATCCTTGCCCAGATTCAACTTTCTCTCATTAGCTTACTCAGATTCAGTTTGCAGTAGCTTCTATACATGCCTCTTCAGCTTGTACTTCACTTTCAAATATATTTGAATACTTGTCCAATATATCTTTTTCATGTTGCTTCTGAATATAAGTAATAAGACAATGGTTATGAGATAACTGAGGGTTCTGATGGGTTAAAATAAAGCTAAAATGTGAGTATACATGTCATTTATTGATAATTATGCTGTCTTCGAGGAGCTCAAAATGAAAAATACCATTCAATTGCAAAAATTATTTTGAAACTGTATTAAGAATAAAATGGAATCCTGGCAAGCAAGTAGACCTATAATGCTGTTATTGTCTTTGTTATAATTGTAGGTCAAAAAGTGAAATGATGATAGTCCAAGACAACTGCCTCAGTACAGGTTTACCTAGATAGGTGGTGCATTATAAATGCATTATTATTACTAACCTTTATTGTCAAATAACCCACTGTAACTTTGCTTTCTGTTTGAGCTCTTAAGTGGGCTAAACTGCTGGTAGCTATGACATATGCACTCAGACCCGTAATTCACCCCCCCCCCCCCACAGAATAGCGAGTTCCGCTCTACTAGACCAATAAAAAACAATTTATAGCCAACATTAGTTTAATGAGTATGTGTGCCTTGGCCTATGACATACTGGTAATATGTAGGCTAATGGTGTAGGCCTGTATATTTACAATTACTAGGCCTAAAGGCGAGCCGGAGGCGATGATAAATCAACCTTAATTGTTTTTCCAAATGTTTTGCCCACAACCTAGCGTCAAATTCAATAGGTTTAACCCATCCAGGCCCACCATTTTTTTTTTTAAATTTTTTTAGTGACAAAAATAATTAAATATAATTTTTTCTGTTAGAGTAATACAAATTCCTTTGATAAGAATTGAAAGATAATAAAATGTTTTTCCTAAATAAGTGGTTATATAGTGTTGTGAAATTTTTAAAATAGAAAAAAAAAGTTCAAGGGTATCATATTACAAAAATAACGATCATATTTTTAATTACTCTAATCATTCAAGTTAATTAAAAAAGCACCAAGAAACATTTTTTTATAAAAATTTTTGATATTTTCTCGAATATTTAATGAAAATACATGCACACATTACTGCACATACGTTTTTTTTTAAATTATTGTTAATTAATTGATTAATTACTGACGATAATTAGAGAGCGCTTAAAGCGCTTATGGGACTGAATGGGTTTTAACGGCCCAGGCGTGGTTGCAGCTCTCCTTCGCCTCCTCACAAATGCACGACGAAGTCTAAATTTAGTAGCATATAGCTAAGCTACGCGTTTGATTTGTAGATTTACCATTATTCGGAGAAATAATAAACTAGCCTACGTACAGATTTTAAAGCAGCCATTATAAATTATTGAGCTACATTATCGTTCCACCGTGCCGCGCTGTGTGTACGTGGGCCGGTTATAGCAGCAGTAGCAAGTAAACAAAGAATGGGTTGTTGACCATGGGTTAAGTTGAAATTTTCTTCCGGAGTAGTTTTGTTACACGTATTTACCGTGAGCTAAAACTTGCTCGAACGGTCGACCACCCGCTGAGTGCTCAGCGCGATTACCCGGTTAAATAAACGGAATATGGTTGGCGTTTTTTGCTCGAACGGGCCCATAGAATTGATTCAATAAACAGTGATCAACACGATGGCGTGTATTTCAATACTTGGAGTATGTATTATACTTTCTTATCTGAGATTAATCAGTGGACCTTTCGGTGATCAAGGTCGTTTTAATCATTATTTTTACAATTCAAAAGTACGGAAGCTTAAAGTGACCTTCCGCGTTTCCGAGTTTCAAAGATAATTATCATGGAAACATGGAATAAATACTTAGTAAGACGTCTTTCCGAGATAATTTATTTCGGAAAGACGGATTTCCGAGATAATTTATCTTGGAAAGAGTGAATTCCAAGATAATTTATCTTGGAAAGACGGAATTCCAAGATAATGTATCTTGGAAAGACGTCTTTCCAAGATAATTTATCTTGGAATTCCGTCTTTCCAGTATAATTTATCTTGGAAAGACGGAATTCCAAGATAACGTATCTTGGAAAGACGTCTTTCCAAAATATGTTATCTTGGAAATACGGAATTCCAAGATAACATCGAGGAGACGAAATTCAAAATTCAAAGATAGCCTGAAAGCTGTAGTAATTATAAGAAAAGTTGAGCTACCTGTAACTTACCAATGGATAGGCCTATATTCAATTTGTTCAAGTTCAAAGTTGTGAGTGAATATTGTTGTATTTCATTGTGTGTTGTTCTGTAT